GCTGGTAGTACTATCACTGCTGCAACTGCCCCATTAGGTGTGGGGTACGACTGCTGCTGCTGCCTCTGCTGTTGTTGCTGCTGCAACTGTTGCTGCTGCTGTAACTTCTGTGCTCCTGCACTTACTACTACTACTACTACTACCACTACAACTGCTGCTGCTGCTGCTGCTGCTGCTGTTGCTGCTGCAGGCATGCAAATATCAGCGCATTTCAAATGATAGACGAAGTGAGGAGACTGGTGGATGACTCCCGCGTGTTTGTTGAGCCAGCTTAGCTGAGACTTTAAATAAAATAAAATAAAATAAAATAAATTAAATTAAGTTAAATTAATTAACATTGATTAAATAATTCGTGGGGCTGCATGCGTCTACGCATTAAAAAACATAATGCAAGCAGCAGCTGCAAAGAGAGCAGCAGCTAGACCTAGCTAACAGCCTCTGCAGAAACAGCAGCAGCAGCAGCAACAGCAGCAGCAGCAGCAGTTGCAGCAGCAGCAGCTGCTGCTGCTTCCTTGAGGTTTAGAGACACAGCGTATTGTTTGGTGGTTGGTTTGCTGGAGACAGTTGGGGGAGTACTAACTCCAGCAGGTTGGTGCAGTTGTTGCTGCTGCTGCTGCTGCAGCAGCAGCAGCAGTTGCTGCTGCTGCTGCTGCTGTTGCTGGGGAACAAAACCAGTGATACATGCGCAGCAGCCACAGCAGCAACATTGAGGTAAATAAATAAAAAGAAGAAACGCAGTGAAGAGAGATATAAAAAACATTTACAGGCAGCCCTGTAGCTGCTGCTGCAGCAGCAGCAAACTTCCTACTGCTGCTGCTGCAGCAGCGCGTCTGGTGGTGCTGCTGTTTTTGTTATCGCATCTCGTTTGGTTCTGCTGCTGCGGCTGCAGCAATAGCCATTGCTGTTGCTGTTGCTGCAGTAGCAGCTAGCTTGTTTGTTACTGCTGCTGCTTCTGCAGCAGCTAACTTATAGCTGTTGCTGCATTTGCTGCAGCAGCCCGCTTCCTGCTGCTGCTGGTGCAGCAGCAGCAGCAGCAAATGCAGGCCCTTTAAGATGGGTGATGTTGTTACTGCTGCTGCTTCTGCAGCAGCTACCTTATAGCTGCTGCTGCATTTGCTGCAGCAGCCCGCTTCCTGCTGCTGCTGGTGCTGCAGCAGCAGCAGCAAATGCAGGCCCTTCAAGATGGGTGATGTGCTGTCTCTGTTGTCGCTAACCTACAAGAAATCTGTCTCTAGCATAAATAAATAAATAAATTAATTAATTAATAAAGAAGAGCATAATAGATAAAACATACAGAGTTTGATTTATACATTGATACGAAGATTCACAATAAAGAAAATAGAGTTTAAACCCTAAACCCTAAACCCTAAACCCTAAATATAGAATAGATAAAAGAAGTTTATACAGGAGAAATAATAAGAAGTAAAGGGTAATTGTTATAAATATAGACAAATAAATATATATATATAAATATTATATACTTGTAGATATCTAACTAAACGCTAAACCCTAAACCCTAAGTAAACCCTTAACCCCAATTAGGCCCTAAGCCCAAATACATCCATACACCCCAATCATTCGGTAGGCAGGCTACTGCTATAAAAACGAGGGAGGCGGGGATCGCATGGGATCGTGTGGGGTCACTTGGGATCGTGTGGGGTCATTTGGGATCGTGTGGGGTCATTTGGGATCGTGTGTCTCCTTCAATCTCATCCTGTCTCCATGTCAACTAGGGTTTAGGGCATCTGGCTGCTACTACAAGCAGCTAGGGTTTAGGGTTTGGAGGGGTTTGTAGAACAACTACAACTCTCTAGGGTTTAGGGTTTAGGGTTTAGGTGGGCCTATCAAAGAAGAGTTTAGGGTTTAGGGTTTAGGGTTTAGGGTTTAGAGGAGCTTTATAATAAGACAAAGTTTGTCTATTAGAGATATACAGCGAGCAAACTGTCTCTTGTTTAGTCTCTATGGCGACAGAAAAAGAATATAAAAAGGAGAGACAGAAACACACACCGTCTCCTTTTGATGCTGCATCAAATATAAACAAATAATCAAATAATTAAAATCTGCATTGCTGCTGCTGCTGCTGCTGCTGCAGCTGCTGCAGTTTCTGTTGCTGTTGCCGCTGCGTTTCTTTTGTCTCTTTTCGTTGATTGTTCGCTCACAAAAAAGAATTACTTTTGCTGCTGTCCCCTGCTGCAATAAATACGATAATATCCCCATATGCCTTGCGCTGCTGTTGCTGCTGCTGCTGCTGCTGCTTGCTGCTGCAACATGCTACTGCTGCTGCTGCTGCTGCTTGCTGCTTGCTGCTGCTGCTGCTGCAGCACGCTGCTGCTGCTGCTGCTGCTGCTTATTCTAGTTTAATAAATTCTACTAGACTGGTGACCATAGCGTGATCGCTTCTGAAGTCGTAGGTTTGTACCCCCTTACGAATGGTAGCAAGAAGAGGAGGGAGACTGTCTCCAACTGCAGCAGAAGAGACAGCAGCATCTATTATTTTGCTGCTGCTGCTCGGCAGACGCAACACTACACGATCAAGATAGCCTGCACCTCTAGGAGAAGTATATACTTTATTAGCCAAGCATTCTTTCAAGACACCGAAGGGGGTATAGCCCTGAAAGAATAACAAACATAACAGCAGCAGCAGCAGCAATAGCAGCAGCAGCAGCAGCAGCAGCAGCAGCAAGGGGCAGAGAGAGAGTGCTACTTTTACTACTTGTTTAGGGGTTTCGTGTTGCTGGCTGTTCATTGAGAGAGAGAAAAAGAAAAAGACAGAAGGAGACAGAGACACACACTCAATGAGGAGACACAAGGAGACAGACATCTATATAAATATATATATATATATATAAATATATATAAATATATATATATAT